GGAAAGACTCAAGCATAGCATTTTGTTGTAAAAACTTTGTTCGAGTAAACAGCCGTGCAAAAATATCCCAGGCTTCTTTGAAGTTGCATGGAATTTCTGAGATTTTCATAGACATTTTTGTGGAATCTGGGGAAAAATCTGTCTTTAAATTAAGAACTTCCCATCAAATGTTCTGTTTTCACTGATGCTTATGTTAGAGATTGCTGTTAGAAATGACATACATCGCTTCCTATAGCTGTCTGTTCAAGGCTGTCTGTTTGGAGAAGTAACGCGTTTTCTTACAGGACATTGCTTTGGCATCTAAAGCTCAGTAACTGGTTCTGGTACTGGTAACATAAGTCTGTTACGGCTATTGATGTAACTCATCATGAAACATTCTTCTTCCTTTAGCAGCATTAGCTGTCTCTTATTATTACTGGCTTTTTCAGCTGCAAAAGGAGGAATGAAGGGATTTACCTGTCCAAAAAATACCATCATAAAGTGCAAGTTGGATGGCACTTATAAAATTTGGCTGTTTCTTTCCAGTATATTTGGATTGGTGATTAGAGTAGAACTTTTTCCCTGAGAAAATATTTAACTTTGGGAAGAAAATGTAAGGATTTAGAAGAAAGCATAAAACGCTTAAGGAGTGCATAGTTAAACTTGAATGGTTAGAACTCGTGTGTTATTCATGGTGAAGTTATTCTGTGAAAGGCTAGAATAAGTTGTTCAGAATATGTAACAGTTATTTTGCCAACCAGTGCACAGCAGTAGTTTGTGGAAGCAGAGTAATCTATCTCATGTCATGTATATGCCAGATGAAAAATACTTCTGCTGACTTTTAAAGAATTATGCATCCTAAGCAAGCTATAGCAGAAGTGGTGCTGTTCTGGGACATTCTCAACTCTTAGTTTTCTGAAAGTCCTCCTTTTGAAGAATACCACAGGGTTTCTTTTCTGTATTATGGTTTTTGTGGTTTGTTTTTTTTTTCTCTGTAAGCAAGTTTTGTATTTAAAGAGAAAAAGGTTGCCTATGCAAGAAGTAAATAAATATTTTCCATATGTCTTCTGTAGATTACTTAACTTCTTCTAAAATGTTTTTTTTAACAGTAAAAAAATAATGTTGATCTGTTAGCTGTCACAGTTACAGAACACTACAGTAAACAAAGCTTGAATATTTCCATCATTATCTAATCTGGAAAAACATCAAAAAGGTTCCTTTCTCACAGGTCAGTACTTTCCCGGACAATCTGTTTTCTTTCAGCTGTAACAGGTAGAAATTAGCCTAAATAAAACTGTTAGTACAGAAAAGATTTTTCTGGTGATTGGATCCCTTCAGTCACCTGTCTGAAGTGACTGGTTCTAAACAGGAGGAGAACAAATCAAATTATTTCATTATGTTAGGATTGTTGCATTCACATGGTTTCTGAGTGCTGCTTGGCAAGAGTTCTTGTAAAGATGCATCGTAATTTTTCTCTTCTGGTTAGCTTTCCTTTGTATGAAGGTATGGAATCAGTAAATTAGTAGAGATTTGTATGTTGAGCCTCAGAAAGGTAGTAACAAATGTTATCGAAAGTATGGAATGGTTTCTATAGGAGATATGACTAAGTGGGTGAGTTCTGCTTAGACTGGAGGAGAAACAGTGAGCCAGGGAATTATTATATATACCACTCATTAAATTAATATGAAATGGAGAGGATAAAGAGAAATCAATTATGCATTGTTTTCCAATACATAATCTAGGGGCTTCAAATGAAGCTAATAGCAGCTAGACTGAAAACAAACAAAAAGTGGTAGTAACTTGGTTGCCTTCTGCAGAAGGCAGTTGAGGCAACCCTTTGCCAAAAGATCTTATCAATGATAAATCTTACAGGGTTCCAGGAGCAACCAGAAAAGCTCTTGGAAGGTAAATCACTTACTAGAAAGGGAGAGTGAAAGAGCACTAAACGGGAAGTATTGCTGGGTTTTCAGTCATTTTATATTCTCCTTTGGGCTCTATTAGGGAGAGGATAATGAGCTAGATGAACTTTACAGTACAACTGTTTTATATTCCAAGAGAATGTAAAAGCCAGAAAACCTCCATGTTTAGTTTATATGGTGTGTGAATGGCTTGTGACTCTCAATAGTTGTTTCATTCTTTAAAGCAGTGAATGTCTTAAAAAAAACCCAACAACAAAACAAAGCAACAACAAAAAAAGCCAAAGTCAAAACCAACAAAACACCAAGACTCAAAAATAGAATATATCTTTATTTTTTTGTCTATTGAAACAAGCAAGATCAAAATAGTCAATAGGAATTTTGAAGAGTAATTAGAGTAACAGGTTCTTGTTAAATTTCTTTTAGTCATTGCATTTTTTTATTCTGTATTTTAGTTTGCTGTAGGAAGTCTGCTTCCTGCTAAATGCAATGTTTAAAATTCCCTAAGATTGTAAGGGATAAGCTACAAATATGGACTATCAGGCAAGCCCTGGAGATTTAGTTAATCTGACCTAGATGTTCTTTTGATGATTGAGACCTGCAGTATGTGAAAACACTTCTCAATTTCAAAATGAAACACAAGGATATCTGTTGTATAACTCAGCTGTCCTTGTAGTGACAGACACATCAATCATTTCTGAACAGGGAAGGATTTACTATAAAAAGTTTGTAGCTTTGGAGCTGTTGAGTTCATTGGTATTCGGATCAGCAATGATATTGGAAGTTGTAAGTGAATTCAGCATTTGAATTTTACCATGTCCTAAAGAGGATTAGCTACAAATGCAGGCAACATACTTTTTTCTTTTTCATTTTCAAGAGCCTGTTGTGTAAGATGTTAATTCTTGACTTAGTTTTCAACATATTTTATGTGAATCTGCTTGGTAGCTCTTAGAAAAAAGCACTGAGCAGGTACTATAAACATAAATAACTCTGGGTAAAAAAAACATAATTGGAAAAAAAAAAAGCAAGTACCTGAAATGCAAAACTGCTTTTACATATACCACTTTTGAATACTTGAGAAGCCACTATTTTTCTGTAACCTTTTGGGTTGAAACTCTTTTTATAGTACAGTTAAATACATAGAGAAGATGCTCTGTGTTGAAGAACTGTGGTGTTAAGTACTCCTTTTAAAAAATCCTTACAATGATTGCATAAAATGGTTTGAATTATTGGTAGTATTATGTGACCTAACATTTACTCTGCAGAACGCTGTTTCCTGTATATTTAGCAAATTTTCGCAGTTTTTACTTAAGTTTTGCATGCTGGCTTTCTGGTTTATGCTGAATTATTTTAGAAAGGTGTACTGGTAATAATAGTGTGCTTGGAGGATGTGGGAAGAGGAAATTATCTGTGTTAGAAAGACAGATGGTAAATTGACTTTTCAATAGTAATTGTTTCCACTGTTTTGGAACTGAGACTCAGTATTTTTTACAGGTTTTTGTTCAGACTGCCTCTTTTATATGAAGTGGTATGTAAATTTTGGAAGTTGCACTTCACGTTTAAACAGTAGAGGTTTCTTGTAATATTAACAGCTAAAAGCCTTGAAGAGTCAAAACGCATGTTTCTCTGTAGGGATTTCCTCAGAATCACTTTGAGCTATATTATTGTGAATCTGGACACCTGAAATGAGAGCAGAGTCCTCTCTATAAGTGATCCTCTTGCTAAAACAAGAGAGTATAAAGAAAGTAAATTCAAGTACTCTGAGAGGGAAGGGTGAGAGGTGAGGATGATGGATGCTTTGCACACAGAGTTTTTTGTATCTTTTTTAAAGATATATCAGACGTAAGTACTGGCATGCCTGTAACATGTTTCTTTAAGAGCTTTTCGTATATTTGTTTTAAGAATTTGTTTAAGTGGAGGAAGCAATATTTTGATTATGTTCTGTGGTGCTGAGAAGGCATAATGTGGTGTTCTGTACCAGATGGAGTTTCTAAGGTTCGAAACCTTTTTGAGATTGTATATTCTGTAGCTGTATTCTGCTCAAAACAACAAAGGAAGGAATGAGCTCATTATACCTGGGAGAATTAATAACAGTCAATATGCCATAGTTCTTTCTGTTACACATCAGTTCCTCTGTGGTCACACCCTTAAGAGAGCAAACCTTTGCTCTCTTCTGGGACAGGACTTGCCTTGCAGTTAGTATACCTGGCGTCTGCATTGTTGGCACGTTACATTTGTAACAGTTACTGCTCTGTAAATTCCTCTTTTTCTTACTAAGCAGAAGCAAGAGAAGTCAAAACAATATTGTTTTTAGATAGTACTCATTGTAAGAAAATGGCTAATGTTAGCAGAGAAGGGGTACCAACTGGTAACGTTGGGGTTGAGAGGCATGGTTTTCTAGCTGCCAAGACATTATAGTGATGTTGAATACAAACGTTTCATTGTGAAGACAGTTTTAAAACATCTGGTGTGATTCTTTACCATGAGTAATACAAATGATTACCATGAGTAATAGCAGTACTACTCTATTACTGTGGTGATAGAAATTAAGTAACATTTCTGTTCATCTGAAGTATATTTTAAATCAACTCTCTTGGAAGTGTTCAACCAAATAGGAAAATGTCTTGAATAAAATGACAGCAATTTTTAAGTCTCTCGTAAATGCAACCTAACTTGATTATTTGTGAGCTTGTAGTCTTATTCAGGTTTCAAAAAAAAAAAAAGCAAAACACGAACAAAAACTATGAGCTTTGATTATGAGTACCTGTATTATATTTACTTTTCCTTAGAATGTTCTATGTGAAGTAATGTATTTCTTCTTGTGTAAATATTTTACAGACTCCTGGCTTCAGAGCACACTCTGGAAGGTTGCAGTGGTTTGCAAAAAGATGTATATCAAATAATCAGGTATGTGGCTTGTATGATGTCCTCTGTGTAACTGTCATTATATTCCAAGAAAAATTGTTCTGAAGTATTTCATCACTTGATTTTTATGTTTGTGAAAGGACGTGTGACAGGCTGATGAGGTGAACTTAATGCTCTGAGTAAATGCTGGTGTATACTTAAACAGAAATATTATTTTAGCTGAGTGCACACAGCATGTAAATGCACATATATAGAAAAATAACTTTTTGGCCAAGCTGTAACTATGTTCTTCTTTCTTTTTAAAGATGGAGACTTTGGAACACTTGACAGAATTAACTCAAAATCTCTTTGAATGTGATAGAGATGAGATGTACTACTACCTGCTTCAACTGTGTGGTGAGTGAGCTTGTGATCTTCTTCATGTTGTAATCTATTTTCTGTTGTGGCTGGAGATGGGAAATAACCTTGAATTGGAGAATTTTTATACTGATATGTAATTAGCCTGGGTATCATTTCTGAAGCATCTTGTGGGGGAGAAAGTACAGACTTTTTACCTACAGACCTCAACGCTTACTTTGAACTTGAATAGTCCAAGTCTTTTAATCCATGCTATTGTCTTGTGTCTTAATTGGAAAGTTTACTGTTTTGGTTTTAAGTATGCTTAAAGAAGAAAAATTGTTCATTTGTTATATCTTCATAACTGATAAAAAACTGAGGTCTCCTGTAAATTGGATCTGGTTCTGGAAGGTGCATTTTTAAAAAATCTGCTAATTCTTCACCAGCTACAACCTAACCTTTGCATCATTTATAGGAATGGAACAATTTTTAAAATTGAAAGTTCATTTCTATGCTACAGATTTAGTGTAGGATCTATGTGTAGTGTTCTTCGTTTCCTTTTTTCTGTATTTTTCAGTCTCTGCTGGTTTTGTTATTCAGTGTGTCATACTGTATTATACATAATAAAAATTCCAGAAACCTTGAAGTCTTGAAAAAACATTTTGTGTTAAGATTGGATATGGAGCACTAAGTAGTAAATTGGGACATTAAAAAAATCATTACAGGTATTGCTGTGTACTTTGGTAATGTGTGTATGTATTAATGAGCCATTACAGCAATTTGATATATTTGGTCATGGGAAAACTTGCATTTGAGCTTGAAATAATTTTAGGCTGTTCTGCTGTGTATTTTTGGTTGACTAGAACTAACAATGTTTTAATGCTAAATAAAATACTGTTCAAAACCTCTTTTACTTTTCATGTGGTAACAAAAGAGGCTTCTTCCCCATTGCACTTACCACAAGTAGAAGAGATGAGTACTTCCACAAAAAAGATAATGTGATCAGAGATCCCTTGAGAACTTTGTTGCTTTTCATTTCCTGCACAGCCTCAGAAAGCTTTAAACTGTACCATTTCCCAGTTCTGGCTTTGCACACACTGGTTTGCCATCAAAAGTCAAGAAGGCCTGGAAAGCCATCTTGTCTCAACAGGGAGGGAGCTTTCCTATTTCTCCACTCATCCTGTTCACCTCTGGCAGTGACTAAGTATGACAGTGTGCCTGCTAGGTAGAGAATCTAAGAAGATACAATTTATCAAATTCTGTCATGCAAAATCTTCAGTCTTCTTTCAAAAGACAAAACCAATTCTATCTATTCAAAGAAGTGGAAAACGTTTGTGGGTTTCTGTCACCATAAAGGACAAAAACCATGCACATTCCTGGTTTCAACCATTTTAGATTATCTATCAAAGCTGCCCATGCACAAATACGGTAGAGAGTTGTCATTGTGTACCTAAGCCATAACTTCAGATCTATTTTAAGAATATTTAAAAAACATCTAGACCAAGCTGTGATCAGAAATGTTGGAAACAGTGCATTTGGTTTTGTAGACTCAGAATAGTTTATGCTGGAGAGAGCCTCACAAGTGGAAAGGAAACAGCCTCCTTGGGCAACCTGTGTCAGGGTTTGATCATCCTCACATACTCCATTGCTGCAACTTTTAACCATCACTTTTCATCCTTTGCTATGCACTTCCAAGGAGGAACTGACTCACTCTTCTCTGTAACTCTTAGTTAGGTAATGGAAGACAATTATTAGATCCCCCGTTAGCCTGCTTTTCTCCAGGCTGCCCAAAACTCATGTTCTTAGACTTCCCTTTTACACCATCTGCTCCAGTCTCATGCCCATCTTGATGGCTGAATTTGCTCCAGGTGCTAGCATCTCTATAACTTCTGGAGCCCAAAACTGGACCTAGTCCTCTAGATGTGGCCTCACAAGTGTCAAACGTAGGGACAAACACATGAAAAATTGTCAAGATATTCTCTGTCCTACTCTGTTAAGTGCCACAATAATCTGCTTTGAAATATTACTTTTGCAGTGTTTAGTCCTTAAAACCAATCATTTTATTTGACTTAGGGTAGTCACCAAGTTTGCTGCTATTTCTAAAAAGCTGAAGTTATGCTAGAACCTTGTTGAAAGTGGGCTTGGATATTGAACCAGCCCGGTTATATATCTATGTGTTTTCCTAAAGCCATACTGCCTCTGGAAAGAAAACAACATTGCACTGTATCATTTCAGTATTGCATTGCAGTATTGTTTGCAAAGCAGTATATACTGCTTTGAAACACTGACTTTGTAAGAATTCTAGAGAATATGCAAGAGTGTTGTGCTGCTTCCAGGTGACTGCTCCAGCTCTTCCTTGTGTAGTGACTTAGTCCAGTGGAATCTGAGCTACAGAATAGCTGAAGTTTCTTCACTGGACAAGAGCTAAAGAGCTGCTGTTACAGTCTGAGATGTTGCTGTGTGAATAATTCATTCCATCATCTGCCTTCTGACTCTGCCTTCTTGCCTTGCATCTCTTCATTTCTGGGAATCTGAATTAAACCATGGAATGGACAGATTACAGTTAACAGATGTTGGGGTTAGGTAGCTGTGAATAGGGTCTAAAACCAGAAGTCATTGCTGTTCTGGTGACTTATGACAGAAGACACAGGAAACCACCTGCTGTGTGTAGTTAAATAATAATTTACTGTTTTCTTTCACTGTTGTTTGCAATTTTGTACAGTGGTGCATATATGATTTGCTATTCTTGTTGAAAACAGCTGAATTGTTCTGTGAATTTGGTAGAAATTTTAAGTTTTTCTCTTTCAGAAAACTTACCTTTTACAGTCTTCAGAGATGCATTTTTCTCTTAGCAAAATGAGAGCCTGAAGGCCTAGAATTTTCCTTTGACTTGAAAGTGGTAAATTTCTGAGATGTAGATGCTCTTAACTCAATAGCAATGTAACCAGAGAATTTCGTTTCAAGAATTTCAGAATGGAACTTAGAAGTATTATCTCAGTATTAATGTTTTGTAATAATTTAGACGTTTTTGAATGATGATCACATGAAGCAGAAGTACATGATTGATTAATTATTTTCCAAAGATGCCTATTTTGAATCACTTTAGACGTGTATGTATATTCTAAATGCACTTTTATCTGAAGGCTTGAATCTTGTTTCAGAGAACAATGATGATTGGGCAAAGGCTGAAGCTGTTTGGACTAAAATTCAAGAAGAAAATATTGTTCCTCGTGAGAAAACACTAACCTTACTGGCTAATATACTTGAGAAAAATGGCCAGGTTGTTCCATTTGAGGTACCTAAGGTAACTGGAGCTTAACTTCCCTAGCTAACAGTACTTCTGAATGTTTGTTTCCATTGAAAAATGTTAACAGATAGCATTACATATATTTTTTGGTTTTTGTTTTTTGTTTTAAAGGTTAGACATGAAGACACCAGAAGTTTAAGTGCTTCTTATGTGGACGAAAGAAAAATAAGGATGCTTTGCAAGAAAAACAATGCAAAAGGTACTCTGAAAATCACTGCTTTTTCCTCCTGTAGCATTAATTTTAAGGCTTCAGTTAACTACAGAGCAACATGTACTTGCTTCTGTTTTTTATTGTTTTGCTAATATGTTAGGAATGGTACCTGATAATGCTTCCTGACAATATTTCGTTTCAGAAGCTAATATGAAAAGGATATACCTAAACGTTTAAAATTCCATTAGGAATACTAACTTATAAATGCGTGATCGAAAGCCAGACTGCAGTGAAGTTGCCAATTTTAAAGCTACCGAAGTGTTGCTGGTCTATAGGTCACTTTATAATCTTTCTAGACTTTCAAATGTATCCATTAAGCACCAGAAACTAAACTTATGTACAGGATTGATACGAAAAATACCGCTTTTTATGGTCCCAGAAAATCTCACTGTTTGATGACAAGTTTTATGGTGTGAGACATGGGAAGTGTAGTGAGAAGAAAGATTAATATTAAGTGAAGTAGCTGGCCCTTGTTTATGGGAAGGCATTTACCTATTAAAAGAAGTTGTTTGGAGATCTTGTATTTGCTCTTGCTGTTGAAACCTTAATAATAAGATCAGGTACAGTTCCAAAGTATGCTTCATGTACCTTATTCAAGCCATAGATTTGGCAAAAAAATTTATTAGATGAGATTAAATGAGATGGGACTATGTTATGGAGATAATCATTGCTCTTGTCCTGTTTGGCTTTTATCTGTTAGTCTGCTATCTCTTTGTTGCAAGACTATTTATTTCTATTTGAAGGGAGAATTCAATGTGTTGCATAGTGCCTTTAGTTTCTTTACAACTGAGATTAAAGTTGCCTATGTTTCTCTGTAGAATCTGCAATCTTTTCCTCCTGTTCTTCCTTCCCCAAAGAGATAGCCAGACTATAAACAGAAGGTCAGAACCTGTGTCCTCACAGCTCACTATTTCCAAACCCCTGTGCCTGTGGATGCTACCCCAAAAATGAAATGGCCTTATTAAAAGATTGCCTCAGGTCAGTTCTGCTACAAAAAGTGAATAGCTCTTCTGTGAAAACTTCCTTGCCTCAGATGTAAACAGAATTGACTTATGCATGGGTATTTGCCTTTGTATATAGAGAAGAGGAGTGTACTGCAGTGCAGTTCCTTTGGCTTAGTCTGTATTTAAATAATTGGAAATCCATTCCTATCCATCTCATCCCAAAGCAAGGTCACGGAGTCAGAATTAGCATTACTGGGCCTTTCAAGGAGGGGAGAAAAATCACTCAATTTCTGGCTTGTGCCAATGTGTATAGCATTTGAATACTCTTAAAATATTTATTTTCTTCGTCTATAGTGTGGCAAATAAATAGGCATCTCACTTGAAAGCGGGTTAGAAAATAGAATTAAATAGATCTTTAAAAATTAATTTTGCTGAATGACGAAGATATATAAATACAAGACACCTAATTATTTTCTTCTGAGTGTTATCAGTATATTTTACATGTTGAACACACAGATTTTTATACTCTTGAGTTTTAAAAAGAAGAATCTCAGTCATTCACACACCAAACTTGTGGTGTTGGTGAAATGACCCTGTAGAGTTATTCAGTCACAGGAGCACTGATTAGCAGTCTAAAATACAGTCTGGGTATTCTGTATGTAGGAAGTGCAATCTTGTGTTGTGTATATGAGTTTAAGAATCGCATGTATATGGCAGACATAATGTTTTCAGGAAAATTTTGTCAGTCAAAAGAAAATATGAGAAAAGCAGAATATTTTTCACTGAAAACCAGGTATAATTAATGAAATGTTTTTTATAACATTAGTCCTAGAAAAGTATTCTGTGCCTTTGATATATCGCAAATGATCAAGTGGAGAGCAGGAAGAAACTAAGTATGCCTTGGAACTGGCAAGGAGACTAGTTTAAAAGAGAAATATAAAATGTCATCATGGACTATTAGCAGTTCCATTTGATACCGAATTGATCAGTAAATTATTCCTGCATATTCTTTTGTATAGAGGTGCAGTATTGGAGAGAAAGAGGTCTAGAGCTATTGGAAATTAAAGGTACAACGGCAGATGTTGAGAAACAGTTCCTTTTTTGTTGGGATACAGTTTCTCTATGTCTTAAAAAAAAATCTATAAAAACTTAAGTTGTCAATTTTATATAACAGTATAATGTAATTTTGATGTGAACTTTTTGTCACCATCAGCTTTTTGATAGGAAAAAGATAAACTTCATCTAGTTATGTAACTAATTTCATGAACAGCTCTGACATGGGGGTGTTTTGAAAATCTATTCTCTGAAGTGCTTGGTTTATTCAAAGTTACATTTTCATTTTTATCTTGATTCCTTAGTGTGAGAACTTGACTCTAGGGGATCATGTTACACACATCCCAAACAGTTACAATTGTTGAAACAAATTTGACTGTCTTGAGAAATGAGACTTTCTTGGCAAGTTGTCACTTCTCTAACAAATCTTTCTACTTGAAATAGCTAGTATAACACAATATGATTTTGAAATCAAGAACTTTCTTTTTGGAATGCTAATATACTTCAGTAATTTTAGATGCCATCTGAAGAAGTAATAGGCTGATAATACCTGATCAGGCATATATCTAGGCATATTTGAGACTTATCTAGGTGTACTTCAAACACGCTGCTTGCATTGGTGCAACATAAAGTTAGGAAAATAAGATGAATAGGAGAATCATTCTGAGGGTAAGACTGACATACGCAACAAAACATCCTAGAACAGGAAAACAAAGCTGATACAAAGATTTCTAGTTCTTCATTGAACTAGTCATTACAAAATAGATTTAAATATATTTCCTTTTAGAAATAGAGCATATATTTTGTGGATGGAGATAATTGATGGTAGCATATGCTTTACATCATGTCCACTGATGGCAAGGTCTATTTCTGTATCCAGTGAATGGAAAGCAGTATTCAAGCACAGGCTGAAATCCTCGTTCAGTCTGAAGACAGCAGAGCTTTTGTAGGAGTCTCCAAACAAATATTTTTTTGGCTTTAAAAAACAGAATTTAAAGAAGCTTTCATGAGCAGAAAGAACAAGTCTGTCACTAGTCAGCTACTTTTTTGTTAATGGAATAATTAGTTACACTTGTAATAGATTATGCGAAAGGGTTATATGGTATATAATAGATTATATGAAAGGGGTTTTGTTACTGTTGAATGTGATTGCTAGTCTACTGTACCTTGGATGTCAGAAAAGTGGAAGAAAAAATGTCTTTTCCACTGAAATTAAGCATGAACACTGTGAGTGCTGGTGTTCAGCATCTGAGCAGTCAAGAGAGTTCAGCACATTGCAGTATGGCCAAGCTTTAACCTCAGACCTATACATAAGTGTGGTAGTGGATTTCAAGACCTTTCCTGTGTTGTCCTGTTTTTGTTTTATTTGTCTTTCAGTTGACAATGCAATCAATACGTTACAGCCTGGATGGCAGTTTTAGCTGTAGGTTTATAGCTGCATAATCTTGTTTCAGAAAAATAAATGACTGAAAAGTGTGCTTATCATTTTTCCCCCCTTTTTGGTAACATCTTTTCATACACTGACAGTTATTGTGAATGCATGAAATAAAACTGTTAATCAGTCAAACAAATGCAGCGTAGTTTACTTGTTAAATATCTGTATATTTGTAAATTGTATGTTTTGTATAAATCCTGTCGTAGCCAAATAATTTGATCTCCCCATATTGGAATCACCTCCTATATTATTTGTTAAATGCTGTTGTGATCATGCACCAGACACTGTAACTATATACCCCAGAATTAGGTGTTGCTTTAAAAATCCTGAGTCTTCCCCTTCTACCCAGCTGTGTTGATATTTAAGCAACAGCCACATATAGAAAAAGAGCAGCAGGAAACTTTTTGTTCGTGGAGGTATGTGCCAGTTTATTGTTGAATACAAGCAGTTTTGAACGAGCTGTGACCAACAGATTTGAGCTTAAAGATCTAAGCAGAGGATAAACAGATTTAAGATAGACCTTTTCAGTGAGTAGGTGGCTTCTTTCTATGATCAACATCATCACAATGTGACGTTGCATTTTGGCTTTTTTTTTATTATTTTTTAGAGGCCTACAATGTTTTCCTGAAAATGCAAGGGAAGGATGAGTTTCATTATCGTTCTTATGACACCCTTATAAAAGCGTTGTTAGCGCAGAATTGTCTTGAAGAAGCCATCAAAGTAAAACACATGTAAGGCTTTTCTGTGTTTGGGGTTTTAATTTGTTGGGGGGATGTCTTAAATAATTTCTGGATCATTTGCAGGTAAGTCCTTATCTTTCAATGGGTAACAAGTCATGACTGGTAATTAGGATGTATGATGTAGAAATACACCAGAGTTTCATAGGGCGGTATGCTATATATTAGAAAGGTACAAGAGTGACAGTATGTGTTGCTAATAACTCATTTCAACTAACAGTATCCACAAATGTACTTGGCATCAGAACTGAAAGTCTACCCTTCTGGCAGTCTGCCTTTTCCTCTTTAGAGCAATATCCAAACAGACAAGATTCCTTCACTTAGCTGCCCGTGAGCCTTCCCCTCAATGTTTATCCCTGCTGCTTTCATACCCATCCCACACTTCCTGGCAGCTGGCTGCCTGCCAAGTGCAAAATGGTACATTTGACCATGATGCCAGTGGCTAGGAGATGACCATAAACCTTAGATCCAACTCTTACACTTCTGAAATAAATCCAACCTGCTGTCGTGCATTATTAGAATCACCGGCATTGAATTAACCCTTAGTGAGTTGTATTATACACTGCCTGCTTTAATTATTGCCTGTAATTTGTGTTCTGGTCAGATTATAGGCTTCAAAGTGTGTTACTACTCGTTAATGTAGAGGTAAGAAGAATAAAAATTAAAGTTTTAAGTAATTTAAGTCTTTCAGTTTCTTCAGCTAAAACAAGAACAGTGGTTGTCATCAAGTGTGTTCTCTGACTGAATACAGTGAATGTGTAAGTGCTTGTAGGTAACTTCCATGCTCCATGCAGCGCTGTAGAAATCTAGTAATTTTTAGAATCAACTTAGTTTTTGATGTCTTAGACCAGTATACTGTAAGTTGATTATTATTTTCAAGTTTTCTTAATAAGTGTTTAAACCAAATAAATGTCTTTAATTGAAAAGTTATCAGAGTTCTGTGTTCAGAAGAACAAATAATTTTTCTAAAAATAAGTTTCAGTAATTGGGCTTTAAGATAAAGGAAGGTTTGTGCTTTATGCATATATGGTTTATATTAAGGAAAAATTAAAACATTTAATCAAGTTAATCTCCCTGAAATGGAAGTAACTGATAAATCTTTGTAAATAGAAGATGGAAAGGACACACTTTAGAAATACAAAGAATGCTGATAAAATTTAGTTTCACAGAACAGGTTCATGTATCAAAAGATGTTTAGAAAGATTCTTCAGGGAAGAAGTTTGAAACTTTGTACTGAAGATTTGTACATGCATTGACTGCTTCCCTGCTCTGCAACTCAAACACACTTGTGAGGATGATGCACAAAGTATTGCAAGTTATCAGCAGTAATTTGCAGAGTGAAAGACCAGAAAGAAGGTGGTGGCTTGTTCCTAGTATTTTAGTGATTCAGAATTCCCACTTTAGATAAGTGTTTTAGTATGTAAGTTCAAAATGCAGGGGAAAAAATGAACAAAAATTGTAAAGACTAAAGGAGCTGGAGATGTGTTTTAAAGGACTAAGCCTCTGAACCTTGAGATATTTAGGGAAAAAAAAAGGATTCAATAAGAGGTTCTATTCTTGGTCACTGGTCAGAGGCAACCATCATCATAACCCCTGTGCTTTTCAGAACTCTTATATTCCATCTTGTAGCATAGAAATTGCAAATAATGACATTCTAAGAAGCCTGTAACAGCTCACTGTTGCATCAAGACAGAAAAGGCTTCATATAGTTAGTGTTCATGGTGTTTATCTGTATATCTTTTTTCTAAGAAATTCGTGCTTGCATTAAGCATTTTCATAAGTCTATAAATTTTAAATTATTCACTGAAATAGAGAAAGTGATTGTGTGTGTACACATGGTTGAGGAATAGCAAATCTGTGTGCTTTGCACACGTTTCTGCATGCTTGACAATTTTTCCAACCTCACATTACAAAGAGATTACTCCTACGGAGCCTAAATGTGTGCAGTGGCCTGAAACTTGTGCAACTCCTAATATTTTCATAAAATAGAGGAAAGCTACCTTCATTTATGTAAGCTAACATCTTTTTCTTTCTACTCTGCTTGAAGCCAAATTTGAAATTTAAATAATATTTAGAGAGCTTTAGTATGAGTATTAGCATAGGCAACAAAATAAGTAAGTCTTAGATTTGAAAAGGACAGATAATTTTAAAACTTCCCTCCTGTTATCAGAACTGAGAAACTTGCATAAGAGAAAATGTGGTAGAAGGAAATTGCATTCCTACTCTGCATTTGAAAACAAAACAAAACCTCAAAAACAAACCAGCCAGACAACCCAGAAGATTTTCGATCTGTTAGTCAACCCAAGTCTAGTTGCTTTGGCATTTTAGCACTGTTTTGAGAAATATTTACTGCATTTAGTCCAAGAAGTTTTAAATAGAAATGTAGGAGTACTGGAATGATGGATTAGTTCTGTAATAGTAGCTAACATCTATTTAATCACACTAAAGATTGGAAGATTGGAGAAAGTAAATCCTTTGTTATATGTAATTTACAGTCTCATGCATGAATTGTTGACTTAAGGGCTTTGACAGATGGGACAAAGGGAAAAAAAAAGGCGGAACTGAGCAGTGGGTGCTTAGGCAGGGATTAAGAGGATTGGTTGGGAGAGTAAGAAAATCCCGAGTCCAGTGACTGCATTCGTGAGTCTAGGAGGCTGAAAGTGACTGAGAGGATAGTCATATTGTATGCGATGTGAAGGATTTTCTTGGAATTGAGGAGAATAATTTAGCAATGACCCTGCTTACCTCCCAATCCGCTCAGCCTCTAAGTTCAAGTAGGTAGGCTGCTCAGTTGTTTGCCACAAGATGATCAGTGAGGTTTATCTTGATTGCTGATATGGTAAATGGCAATGCCCCCCTTTTCTGTGTAGAGATTTTGTAATCTAGAAATGAACATTTGTAAAGTTATCCTTATATATTAAAAATGTGGCTGTATGTCATTTAGGAATGGGAACGTTTTGTTGTACGAGATCAGTGTGATTGCGGGTTAGTCTCTCTTGCCTAATTTCTAGAGTCTAAGAAAAGCTTTAGCGGTGTTATTAAAATAAAGATTCTTTTTGATATAGATACGTTAAGTTTTGTGTTACAGGAGATGAAGAATTGATAAGCAAAATACAATTTTAACATGGCTAAGGCAGCAGATGTAATATGTTCACTTTAAAACCTGTATACATCTAGATGACAGAAATTTGAAAATTGATCAACCAAATGATATGGTGTTAGTTAGTAATATGCTTCAGTTTATGTTTAAAATATACAGTGCTGAAAATAAATGTTTCATTTTTATTGCTGAAAGAATAGTTCTACATTTTATAATTATGGTGACTATTGAAAAAAGAAGAAAAAGTATCCAGCTTAGGATACAACAGAACAATGCAGGGCACGCAGTTATTTTAGTCATCTAATATGTCAGCATTCAAGAATCTGAACCGATTGTTTAAAAAAAATCTTGTACTTTGTTTCTTTTGTTGCTCACTTCCAACTTTGTCATCTGTCAGAATGCAAAAAAAAATTATCCTTCTATAACCATTGACAGGATAACACAAAAGCTGTCTCCAGGTCGATATTTTGCAGCAATATTTTTAACATACGAACAGTAGTTTTTATAATTTCACCTTGGTGCTCAACCATTTATTATCGTATCAGAAGCATGTCAGTAATTCCTTTCTAAATGTCTGCTTCTTTTAGTGCTGAGACCCACATCAAGGGCTTCACACTGAACAGTGCTGCCAGCAGCCTCCTCATCATATCGCAAGTTAGGCGGGATTATTTGAAAGGTATGTCACAATGCTTGACCTTTACGTCACATTAATGCCTCTGCAGATTTTTCTTGTAACGCCCTTCGAATACTTGGATAAAGGAGTCCATTTAGCAAATTACCTGCTTATCAAGAGCCTTTTGTGGTAGCTGAGAGACGTAAATTACTGTACATGCATTTATAATACAGCTTGAATATGAATGTACTTGTCATTTGACCACTTAGTCCAGTTTCCATTCCATTTAACACAAGATGGGTTTTCTTAAGATGAATCACAGCTCTTCAGACATGCAAAATTTGTGCTCCAGAACGAGAGAAAGTACAGGCTTTCAAGTGCGTTAAAATTCACAGCACAAGTCATTTTGCTTTGGAAATTAACATACTTTAGAGCATCTGAAACAATTCCCAGCAGTTGTTTCTTGCATATTGTGTTGGTTGTGCGAGATACCAGATGAGTTAAATTGACTGTTAAATGCGCATGATTGTGCACAAAATGATTATAATATTGATTTAAAAACTTAATCAGATACTTTTTAATAGTTCTCAATACCAGCAGTAACAAAATACTCAGTTTGGTTTTCTTTTTAATGCAACGGTGGTGATAGAAAAGAAAATGGTGTCTGAAGAGTATGTAAGGGTCCCCAACAAGATGGTGGATTAAGTTTGTAGTTGTGTTACTTTAGTTCCCAGCACTGTTGTTTTCCAGCCTAGAGTTCAGCTTCACAGCATTAGATTTTACTTATTTAGTTGTTCCATAGAACTCTTGTGACAGAGGAAAACTATGCAAGCACATGGTTTTACATGCAGTGCTGAACCTTTTGTCCCTGGGCAAGCATAGGTGCAGTGTTGATACCTATTTTCATCAATAGCTTTAAGCATTAAAGCAGCTACGTACAAAGACAATGTATTACGCTGAACTGGGTTTTACTTCCATACCAGAAAATCCATTTTTGGTTCTGCCATCAGTTAAGTTTATTTGGTTCCACAGTGTGTAGCAGTAGTAGTCTGAACCCGTGTAACATCAGCTACATTAAAATTACTATGAGTAATTACTTGTACTCTTTCCTACATCTGATAAACTTTTCTTTCAAAATCCTTCCCTATTCAGTCTCCATTCTGATGTCACTGCCAGATGTCATCGACTGAATGATTTGTGGTGAATTACATTGTTTCTCTTGCTCTTGGAAATTCTTACTTTTTTTGCAGTTTTCAAGGCCTCCACTGGACTTTTCTGTCTGATTTTATTCTAATAAATTTTCTGCTGCTTCCTGTCCAGTGTGCCATGAAGTTTTGCCAGTTATTCCTAAATACTACACACCAAAAATCTTCGCTTCTGCAAACCATCACTGATGCTTTTGTATCCTGCCAATCTCTTGCGCTAACTACATGATTTCCTTTTAGCTAGCACACTAAATTCTCTGCCACGTCTACCCTTTACCTTGTTGTACTCTAAAAATGGTTCTTTTGCACATTACAAAGTTTCTCAAGACATCTGTGGAATTGCAAAATTATATTTTCCTTTGTCTTGTGTATTGAACAAGCTTTACTTTGGTAATTTAATGGAATAGTCAGACTTAATCCTTTTTCCTATTTTAATTTGAAAGATGCTGCTTCTCTTTTTGTAATTGAAGCCATGAAAATGTTAGCTGCTAAATATTTCAACCATACTTGTCATTTTCGGAGGCTCACAGATTACCCCAAATTTTTTTGGGCACAGTCGTTTTGTAATCTTTTGGTCATGAACTCCATTCGACCTACACCCTGTGATGGCTTTCACTTGTGTAAAACTTGCTTGCTTTGTCACTTCCTCATATCGTTCACTATCATTCTTTGCTATGTAATATGGTATAGGTAGGAGTTTTTAGGTAGGTCCCTAAGTATTCTTGCAAGAGCTCTAATGTAATCTAGCAAGAAGTTGGTGAAACCCAGGTTACTTTAAGGGTCAGAACTTGAGTTTCACATTATGGAATTTGTAGAGTTTATAGGAAAGCTTTTTAAAAGATAAATAGTCGGTTTTCACAAGCACATAGTTTCCTACTTTTAAGTATTAAAAAATCAAGGGATTAAATTATGTGTTCAGATTAATAGTAATAAGTGCTTTTGCATAAGAACATAAAAATATGAGCAGAGGAGGTCAGGAGAGAATTTGAACTTAGCATGTTTTAAGTTTGCTTTTTAAATGTTGGGAATCTTGTCCCTCATGTATGGCTCTCTTTTTTCCCTAATAAGAAAGGAGGGCAGGGGGAAAGGAAGGGACAGAGGGTGCAGAAATAAAATTTCCTGTGAAGGAAGGTTAGGTATTCAGGATGTTTTTTCTTTCTCTCTTGTAAAAGTAATATTTGGTTTCTGCAGTACCTGCGTATTGAATTGAGATGTTAATGCTGTGGAGTTCCAAGTGGGTGTATATTATGTTATAAGTGTTATCCCTTGGTATTATAATTATTATCTGTGATTAATCCTGACTGTGCTGGTAGGGAGTAAGAGCTTTGTACCAGAAGGGCATGTCTTTCTGTGTGTGCTTGCTCATGTATAACGTAAAGTGACAAGGATTCTGGTTAGAGAAATGAGGGTGACTGCATCTGTGTTGAGTTTGGGGAGTTTGTGACAGACAGATAGGAGATTGATTTGGGGTGGTTTTAATGTAGGTAGCTGCTGTAGCTCTAGGAGTTCTTGAGGTAAATGTCCAGTGTTAAGTTTTAGTTCTCATATGGAGACTTGTTCTGTGCTTTTATTTACCAATTAAATCTTGGTAAACAAAGTTTTGGTGCACACTTAAAAACACAAATCTGAGTGTTAGACTTTAGCAGTTTCAATAATCAATTTCATTTTTAAACTGTATTTATTCTTATGAAGTATGCAACTTTTATTGGTTTTAGTAATGAAAATTGCTTATAGTTTGGAGAGAAAACAAGCTGGAAAGGTCCTAACTTTAATGGCAAAAGGGAGGACATTTATGACACAGCTGCTTTTTTTGAGCTGGATACTATAAAATTAATTAAATGATACAAGTATCTTAATACTTTCTATTGAGAAATATTAACACATTTTAACCTACATTACTGTTGAAAGTTTTTATTTTTGTGTGTATATATTCAAGTTATAATTCACTATAGCAATTTTGGGGCTTAAGTTCAGCAAGAGAATTGTTTTCTGTACAAGTTTTTAAAAGGGTAGGTTTAATAATACCAGCAGCATGGTTACCTTCTGAATTAAAATCCATTTTCCTTTTCTCTTATTTCTTTACCATCATTAGATGCCATGGCTGTTTTAAAAGGAGTGCTTGACAATGGCTTGTTGCCCTCTAGACCAGCAGTTACTGCACTCACTCAAGCTCTGGCAGAAAAAGGAGATATAAAGAACCTGGAAGCACTTAAAAGCATGGTGGAAGACATCAGAAAATCAATTGGTGTATCTGCCTCACTAATTGCTAATGCTATTGCATTCGCTCATACTAAGAAGTAAGTATTTCTGGGACTGATACATGTAATTCTTTTATGCAGACTGATGGGAACTCACTTGCATTATCCATTCCATTCTGTTTCCATTCTTACAGTCTCTTAAATGTTAAAATTCTGTTGAATTTGGGTGATGTGCTGTTCAGTTCTGTTCTTGTACCATTTCTCAAACACATTTGGGGTTGATAGCTATGAAGGATTTGGGAGAGCACAAGATCTTCTCTGGTGGTGTAATTTAGCTTTGATACCTTTCTTCTAATGTATTGTGCCTCATGTAAAGTGTTCTCCTTGGTGTTAGACCAAAAGCTCTGTGAAATCCGAATATAAAATTGAATTACTGTCAATATAAATGTAAATAATATTAGAACTTAGCACCCACAGATTATGCATATAATATGTGTTCAGAAACAAAGATCTACTAGTTGTTCCAGTAGTTGGAATTACAAATTATTATGTTTGCCCTCAAAATGTGAAAACCAGACATAAATCTGTGGAGTGGATTTCTTTTTTTTTTTTGGACAGAATTGTAAAAAACACTGGCTGCTGTGCTGTTTTAGGCCACAGTTTTGATCATTATAATTATCGTCACACTTTGAGTATCCTTTGATTCAGCTGTTTAATTCAGTATTATATTTTGCCTACCATTTTTGTTTTGTTGGTACTATGCTAGTTTATATTTTGTAGAAAACTTCATGGGGGAAGCACTTCTATGAGAAAGGGCATATTACAGACTTCTCAAATACTCTTTGCAGAAACCAGTCTTTGGGAATCCTACATATTCTGTTTTTTTATTTCAAACTGGTTTAATCAGGTAGAGCTCCTGTGTCTAACTTGGCAGAAAAGCTGTAGAACTGTGTAGTACATAGCAGATACCTGATCGCCTCAGGCATGCCAGAACAGAGAGAGTAGTCACTGAAGTGTTTGGAACAGCAAGAGGACTTGAATTGAAGGAGAACCATGCAGGCCAGTTCCAGTAGTGAGCTCACTATATTTTCAGCCATGTAAAACAATCTGTTTATAAAGGACTATCTGGGGAATATTTAATTTGAGTGGTCCATGGCAAGCAGTTCTAGTGCATTGACTTTTCCCTAAATTAAACACTCTGAATAGGAAAGATGCTTCATGATTTGTTTCATAAGCTGCATATTTTCCTGTATTTCCACGTCATAAAAGTGTTACAGGTCGTGCCATGTTCTTAAGATGTAGATTGGTAACAAGAATAAATAAATAAATAGTTGTATGCAGTCACAGGTTATTTACGTAGCATCAACTTTTCATTTGCCATACTGAAACTATCTTGGATGTATGGAAAGACTTAGCAGCATAAATAATATGCACCTTATATATTATTAAATACCTTCCTAGCTGTATCTTGAGAACCATGAAAACCAGACGCTTACATTCTTAATACATGTTCATTTATTGGTAGATTCATGTTTCTGATACATTTTCCAAAGCATTTTTCTTAGCTTTGAAGTATGTTGCATTTCTGCTTTGCCAAAAAGCATTCATCGTGCTCCGATTTCTTTTTCAATTAAATTAATTTTTAGAATGGACTTATAAGTGATGTTGTCATTTGAACTTTTTAGAATGCTAGAAGTAGACTTTACACTTTGGTGAACACTTCCTGCATTATATTATTAGCATTTGCTATTCTTAGACCACAAGATTAAAAGTGTTTGGACAATGGTACTGACTAAACGACATTTAACATTGTCTTTCGCATCCAAAAAGGCAGGCATGGGAAAAATTGGGTAAATAATTAATTGAATAACATTAAAAGAAATACTTGAGTTGCATTAATTATTCAGATACCTTCCGTTTAATGTTTTGATTTTGCCTTCTAGATTTGCAGAGCACATTTTCCTGAAGCAGCTAGCTGAACTCTTCTTCCTTAATGAGGAAAAATGTGTGTCAAAATCACTTAGGTTTTGTACAGGTCAAAGATCCTTAAAAATTTTACTTATGGGTTGATTTATTCATTCAGTCATAAATGTTTTCATTTTTACGGTATCTGAATTAAGTCATAGGTACTCTCGCATTCCTGGGAAAAATATAACCTTAATGTAGAAAACAAAAACTTTACTATAATTGCTTTTTTAGGTTTAGACATCTTGATTTCAGAAACTGAGCCAATTCAATCTCTTTTCCTAGCAATGACCTTGATGCTGCTGTGGAATACCTTGAGCCTCTGCTTATCTCTGGTGCACAGAATCCTGATCAACCTGTCAGAAGTATTTCTTATTTGTTAAGAAAGGTGTCTGAGGAAGGATTAGAACGAGCTTTGCAAAAATGTAAGTTAATTGCCATAATATTTAAATATTCTGACTAGACAGAGGTGTTATGAAAGAGCTATTACATGTAAAACCTGCTCAGTCAGCATAAATCATGCCAGTGAAGTTTACAAAAGTGGCTTTTCAATCAAAGATTTTTCCCTGTGTACCTATCATTTTGCAGTTGGTGTGATGGCAGAGCGACTGGCCAGTCAGTTTGGAATTTGCAGACCTGTCACAGATCTTTTCCTTCAATATGTCAGTGCAGACAGAGTGGATGATGCCAGATCGCTGATACAGGTAATGACATAACAAGAGAGGTACAGAAATACTTAGAGCTCTTCAAAGGTTAACTGCAAAATTGTCAAAAAGAGGTGGTGTGTAGCATAGGCTAGTACTAGTGTGCTTTTGAATTAGTGTGAGTAGCAGTAACACAGTTTAGACTATTCCAAACCCATGAGCTAGTACTTTAGTAGTAGTAGGTGCCAGAGTCGAAAGGTGTTTTGTTTTGTTTTTTTTTTGTCTTGTAACAATCTGAAGGGAATAAAGGAGGACTGGTATATTGCTTGGTATTCCATCCAAAGCAAATATGCTTTTATAAGTTTTCTGTTAGGCAGCAGTTACTTCTTGCAAACCATTCCCTTGCAACTTCTTATATTATCTCTTAAGTGCTGTAAATATAATAGTATCTTACAGCTGTACAGCATGCAAACCAGAAGCAGGTAATATTTGCTTTTCATGGACTTTATTTCACTTGGTTGCTATAATAGTGTATATGCCATATTCAGGTTTTATTAAGAGCTGAATTTGCTTTCTATTCACTTGAGTGTCACAGATGCACTCAAAGACAAGCGCTGCTCTTTGGGCCACAGTCTCACTGAGTAGGCAATCTTCAGGGAATGAGACAGCTGCATTGATGCAGTTTGTACAGAGCTAAGGACAAAGCCGAGCCAGAGGTGGGGTGAACTGGGGGTGACGAGAGCTGCCACTGGCAACCTGCACAAACAGGCTCCATCAGGGAGGCTCCATCTCGGCAGGTGACAGTCCAGTCGTCATGCCGATTCAGTAGATTGTTCTACATGCCTTGGCTCCTGCCTCAGGCTGAGGCCTCTTACCATCTCCTGTTAAGTACATACTACTCGTTTACTAGTTCCTAGGTATTTTAAACCATGAAAGAAAAAGCTCTGCTTCATCCATCAGATGTTTTATGATATTTCAGGACCATTTTTTGAGAAGAATACATACCAAGAAATGTGTTCAGTTACTTCTGCTGCAGTGTGAGGTGTATTATTTGTATATTCTCTGGTCTGGAATATTACTTCTATTGTTTTGCCTAACTGGTCATCTGAGTATTAAATTTAAAGGAGACTACAATTTTGGTATAAAACCCTCTTGCTATATAGCATGAAACATCAAAATGCAAAAAAAATCTCAAGTTAGTTTACTCTTCCTGATTTTTTGCTTGCTCTTTGAAATGAATGAAATTGAATGTGTGAATGAAAATCCATTATGATTTCTTGTTTTTGTGAAGATAGGGTGTTTTGCATTTTTAAGGAAATTCTGCATGTTCTTAAAGTTTTAAATACCTGGAATAATATCCATTCATATATTCCTAAAACTTCTTATTACAACAGCATCCAACTGTTGGAATTAAATTCATGGCTCTATAGCATACTTGAAATAACATAGTATATACTACGTCTTGGGGGAGAATTTTAAAATATTTCCTGTTAAGTGAACATTCACAGATAAACTTGAGTTGAAACATCTCTGTATATGAGAGAATTTGGTTTTTTATATAGTGCAGGCAAAGCTTTCAGTTGTGTTAAACATTCTTGACCACTATTGTGGATCAAGTATTCTACTAATAGGTAACTAGAAGATAGTAATAATCACTGTCCATTGCTTGTTATATTCTTGAGAAGTAAACCACAATCTAAATGAATTATTTTGCTTTTAATAGACACATGGAGAATCCTTGCTTTCAAAAATGCATCTAAGAGTCTGTTTAAAAGTGCCAGAAACAGCAACAGTGTCTTTTCTACTGGCTGGAGGGAGGATGCTTTTACTGACGGAAGTCAGAAGTGGTTTGATAATTCAGCACGAAAGGGGGCTATGGAAAACATCTCTCCAACTAGACTGTCTCTTTCCTTTCAGAGCATCCTTTTTCCTTATGCTGACAGTAGATGAGAATAGCTAGAATCACTAAATAAAGTGTTGCAAGTTTCTCCCATGAATATTTTGCCTTTGTTTATCACCATAAAGGAGTTTTTTGGCAGAACACTATGGGTACATTTTTGTCTCAGTTTTCCAGATGGAATGAGGCTTCACAACTTTTCACCTGTACCTTTAAGAGCCTGTCAAACTATATTATACACATATTACATTCGTAATGGCATAAACCAAAATTTCTTGCATGTGCATGTTTAAAATACCACCTGAATGTAATAGATTCATGGTATCTGTGTTTTATATGCACAATATTCTCTTCTTCCTGTGCGTTTTTGTACTCATAAAATATCTTACAGCTGGTGAAAAGCACTGCATTGTAAGAATTTTAGGACTGACACCTTTGAGGAACATACATTAAAATACTGTCTGTGTATTTTGTTTTGTCCTTGTTTGTTAAGTAAAGTAGATTTTTGATTTATCTGATCTGTCTCAAACTTTTTTTTAAGTTCAACTTCTCTCTCTCTCACTGTCTATTGCAGTGAAAGCCTTTTATAAAATAGAGAGATTGAAATCAGTCCTTTGTATGCATAAGTGTAGGTAATTATACTTTAAAGAGAACTTGCTTTGTACATTTTAATTTTTATAAAGAAACGAGCAGTTATCTCCCTGACACCTTATTAAATGTATAATTAACCTTATGATCCCTAGCTCACTTGTGAATGCTTGGCAGTATAATTGGAGAGGAATAGTGTTTCTTTTTTTCATTCTTTTGCAGTCCTAAACCTCGTTTTTGTGGTGTTGAAGTATTAGTTTAATTCTTTCCCCTTTTGTTTTAAACAAACTTTATACCTAGCATTTTAAGAAAAATGTTTACCAAAACGGTGCATGAAATGAACTTGTTTCCTATGTTCAGTGGTGGTTGGTTTCTGATTTTTTCAAACTAATGGTCAATTATTTACCTTGTAAATAGGTGATGTGTTAATATATTATTTTAAACATCTATAATTTGAATTTTTCACCTTAGTCATTTTGTTTATCACTAATCTGCTCATGACTACTACATTTTTTTCTTTTTCTCAGAAGTGTGGTGCATTAATTGAGAAGGGAACTTTAACAACTTTTATAGCTAGAACAGCATCTAAACCTGGACAGGTATTATATTTTTTTATGTATATCATTGTATGTGTAGCAAAATACTATTTAATAAACCTTTGTTGAAGTGTTTTAGATTTTGAACTCCACAATTGACAGGTTTATCAGGTTTTTTGGCAAGGGGGAAGGTTGATTTGCAGAGCTGGTTACATTTAAAGGAACAGTTTATGCAGCATGGTGGAAAGGAGAGTTGTAGTTAATATTTTTCTATTGTTTCAATAATTTTTGTTGGTATGCTTTATATCCTACAAACATTGTGCTTTGAGTGTTTTACTGCACTATCCAGTATTGCAACCTGGGAGTACTTATTTTGCTGGCTACATTGAATGAATACAAATGCGAGTTAAAACATCATCCTCTTTCTAATGATAAAATATCTCTTTGTTTATAGTAAAAGACACATTTCATATTACTTGTTATGGTGGTTTGGGCATGTATCTAGTTTGAGCATCTGGTTAGAATCCTGGCTTTATGCTCGTTCCCCGTAATTCAAAATGTCCTCACTTATATGCCTGCTTCTGTCCCTCCCTCCTCATATGCCCCCTTCAAAATAATAAAAAACAAACCCCAAACCAATCAACCAACCATAAACCTCCCCCCAAAAATGAACCAAACACCCCCCCCAAAAAAAAAAACCACAACCCCAAACCAGACCCCCCGAAAACACAGCACTGAACGACAACAACAATAACACCACCAAACCAAAAAACACACATGCATGCAAAAGCGCATTGATTTCTCTTTCACAAAGGAGCAGTATCAGGAGACAGTTAATATACAAACTAAAATAACTACCTTTCAAATGAGGGAAAATGCACATTTATGTTTTGGGAAAATTGCTGTTAAATACTTGTGCATTAGAAGTTCTGTTGAAGTGACGATGATAAACACCATCTCTTGGTGTCTGTAGATGAATTTTTAAAAATTTGACATTTTCTCTCTTTTCAAGCTGAAATGTTAATAGTGCATAGCAGTTAGTAGTATGTGATAAAGATGTTAATAATTTCTATAAAGTTTCCTTAATTCAAGACCTGAGAGTTTTTGAAACTAGAATCAGAGGTTAAGGGAGGGAGGTTCCAAATTTAAGCACGTTTGTTAGTCACCTGACTTTTAAGCACTGATCATAGCTAATATTGACCTCTAGATTGGTGAAAGCTGCCGAGTGGTTTGCATTTTTAAAAAATTGGTTAGAATCCTGACATACTCTAATTAATGCATAGATTTCTTCCTTAAAAAATGAATACATAGGGAAACTAATATTTAGGCTTCTTGATAATGAGTTTTAGTCTTATATTTTGTTTTGCTTTGTGCCTTAATTTCTTTGACTATGTCTTATCTGGATATTAAATTTTGGGAAGAAAGTTGTTATGACTACTTTTGGTTGCACAGTCCATTCCTTGTTACCGTTTCAGTTCATATCACGTAAGAGTAATTATTTCAGACCTTTTAAGTTTGGGAATTTTGTTTTGTTCTTTAAGATCTGAAATCAAGGCTCTTTCTGTCTGTGCATCAAATTTCGTAGGCAAAGAAGATTGAAACACTTCTAGAACTGAATCCTGAGCAGCTGGATATGGAAGTTGCATACCGTTACCTCATGAGATGTTATGGTAATGTACTCCTCTTGGAGTAGTTTCTTAGTAAGAACTTTTGAGACATTCAGAAAGGTCATGGAAACCCTTAGAAAGACGAGTAGGATCTACACTGTGTAAGTTGCTGTAGTTTGAGCCACAAAGAGTTGAAGGTTTGTCTGAAATTTTTGTTGTTTACATCTGTTTGGTCTTTATATATCCTAGCTATTAGATTGGAAAAGCGACCAACTGACCCACACCTTGAATCCTTTACAAAAGGAGCTGCATTAGATTAAAGGATAGTGCTACAGTAGAGGCTAAGTAGAGGCTTCATGAGATAAAAAAGAGATCCATGCTAACCCATGGAGCTAAGTACTGTAGAAATTAATGGCTTTTAAAATTAATCTAGCTTTTTTCCCCTGAAACAACATGTAATAAGTATATTGTGTATATTTTGTGTGTGTTTCAAAATCGTAAGTGATTAGTTCTATCAGTAATCTGCAAGGGCCTTCCTGTCATTAGTGTAGATTTTTTATACCTGTTTTAATTTAGCCAAAGTTAATTTTCCTGATGCCTTTATTTGGATTTACCTAAATATTTGATTTGAAGTGCTGCTCAGTTCTCTTTTTATAGTTGAACTCAGGAGAGGAACAGCTCTAAAAAAATCAAGTTGCTTATTTAAATGTTTATTTGCAACACTCACTCTTGAAAAAACAGGACACAGAGCCCCTACGTTAACACTCAGTTGGAAGCTTGTGTCTCTCTAGTGTAGTGTCCTTTGCCTTGTGTACTCTGATATGGTCCTCCAGTTTTATTACAAGAAGCAAATACTCTTCACATGTGTATTACAAGCAAAAAGATAATAATGATGGAAGCTCTTGTGCTCCAGTATATCACAGAGGAGATAAATAGGAATAATTAAGTAAAACACTTCAAATCCAAGGTATGGTGTCAAAGGAATACAAACTTTGCTCTATTTGAATCAACTTGTAGAAGTTCTCATGATGTAGCATCAAAATTGACTTGCTTAGTAATATTTGAAACAGCAATCACTACCAAAATCTTTCAGTCCCATAGTTTCATTCGCAGCAGGGTAATTTTTCTAACATATTTTCATAAAACAAACAAAGCTCTTTTGTCACCAGCACTGTACTTTGCTGCTTTACACTATCATTAGTTCTTTACTGCTTTTACCTCTGTAAAAATTCCGTAAGTTAAATAACTCCTTTTTTCAGTATCCTTTCCAACTGTGTTGTAGTACAACAATTTCATAAAGAGATTGCAAAGAATCACTCACTTGCTCTCTTATAACTAAAACAGTGGTTAGAGTGTATTCAACATGTGAAGCCATGCTGTATATGAAGTTGGTTGCTGTAGTTTCTTCAGACAGAGATGTAGCTGGCTCATAGCAAGTTCTAGAGGAGATATTCAGTACCAGCATGAAGAGTTTGAAAAGCCTTTCCCAGGTTATTCTGCACAAGCATATCACCTGTATGAGACATCAATTCCACTCTTGTATCAGGTAGAAGAGTACACATCAGTTACTTGACCCAATTTGCTAAGGCTGGGATGGATGAGTCATACTAGAATGTCTTTGCATTTTCTATCACTGTTTTAAGGCAGTAAGGTGGTGTCCTACTCTTAAGATATTCAGAAGCATTTACTATATTCTGAGCCCACTTTGTATAATATGTACAGAGTTGTACACATGAACAGCAATTTACCTGCCTCTTCCCCTCATCCATTCCATTTTTGTTGTAGGGGTGAGTATGTTAGTTTAATTTGGCTATCACCAGCAAAATTTTTAGCACAACTGAAATTTAGAAGGCTGAGCTTAGTTTGTGTTCTAGCCAAGAGGGCTAGAAATAAGACATCATATTTAAAAGATACTATTCTTGTTTTTCTGATTTTACAGTTCGTAAGCTTTAAAACATGATTTCTTATTTTGGTCCAAGTCCAACTTCGTAGTATCATCACTTTCTAGCGAACAAATGATTCTCCTGTGAGGCCCACAGTTATTTTTAATTAGTTAGAAAGGGGAATGAAAGATAACAGAGTGCTATTATTACAGTTGGTTACTGTTGCTAGTTATCAGAATAAATGGACAAATAAAAAGGTAATTGTTTTTGTTTAGTGAAGATACAGATCACAGCTAAAAGAAGTCTGATCGTGTATCAGACATCCATGACTGAAGAAATAAAGGCTCATTTTCTCCTTTCCTTGTCCTGAGATAGAATCCACTGCCAGGACTAGATTTCTTTCATCTGGTGAGATGCATAATCCTTTGTTGTATACCTTCTAGAAAAAAGCGATATGGAAAATCACATTTGCTTGGTCCATTAAATGCAAACTTAAGTATTAGCTCTTTTTTTTGTTTTATTTTCCATACAGTAAATACATCTATTTTTAAAAAGTAGGAAGTTAATGGTTTCTATTAGGCTTTCATTAAACTATCACTTCATGCAGTTTCTGCAGAAGCCTCCCACATTAAAAAAGGATTTCAGCCACTTGCCAGATGTGAGTGGGAAGCTTTTTCTCATGAGAAAGAGACACAAGCTATCAATTTCTGCATAATTAAATTTTTTTTTCCTCTAAGAACCATTGTTTTTGTAGCCCTTATGGCTGTGGAGATGATGCTTCCAAAAGTGAACAAGTAAGAACCTGAGACAGCTACTGTACCCCAGGTGGGGTGGTTGCGTTTTCCGAAGCAACTAAAGTAATTTAGCTGGTCGTGATGGCTTTCTTGTTCACAGGGTGCTAGGAACTTTTGTACTACTTCTAGGACCCTGAGGACAACAGTGAAATTGCCAGGAGTCACTTTAGTTTCATCCTGGTGCTTCTCAAGCATATGTCTGAGGAGCAGAAAAGTCTGTGGTTAAGCATGAGTCAATGTAGAAGGAGTTTCTTCCCTCTCCCGCTTCAGAGAAAGGAGAAATACACTCCACTCTTTTACAGCTGGAAGTGAAGAGTGCTTTCAATAAATGACGACTGAATTAATTAGAACCCATTGCAGGGGATTGTGCCTTTTATGGAATATCCAACAAAATGTTACTGGTACGGTTAAGGTTTGTAACAGCATTGATGGGTCAGCAAACACTTTCTCTTGCTCAATAGGATGGAGTGCATTTTTCTTTGTGTTCTAAAATGAACACCTGACCCCTTTGTTTTTTCTATTCCTTTGCATTATAGATTTGATGTAACCTGCACCTGTAACAGTAACGATATTCTGCCCTTACTTAAGGGAATTAAATTATCTTATACAGTTCTCATATGCTGAACTTGAGTGGCTTTTATTCTAGCTTTTGTTTTGATTTTTTTAAATCATTTGCTTCAGAAATAGGCGTATGGCTCTGTGTCTCACATCCTGGAGTGGTGCGTACTCACTGCAGCTCCTATCCTTAGTGGTTCCAACACATTCTTGAAGGAATTGATCATCCAGCCTCAAATAAAAGGGAAAGTGAGAATGGCTGTATGTTCTGTTCTATTATCTGAATTATCAGTAGGATATGAAGAATATCCAGAATATTTGGAATATTGGATATTAATATATTTAGAATATGTTTTGGCAAGTAGTAGGAATGCATCACATCATGGAAACAGGTGAAAAGAGGAATACTTAACCACTGGTGGGGTTTTTGGATTTTTTTTTTCCCTCAGAATTGGATGGGGATGTTGCTTCTGTAAAGGCTGTGTATGAGAAAACAAAAGCGAAGAATATACCGCTGAATGAACTATCTCTGAAATCTTTAGCAGTTTTTCTGAAGAAAGCAGGAGAGCCCGTCCCTTTCACTGAACCCCCTGTGAGTATTTCCTAAGGAAGAAATAGATCTGCAGAATTGTGTTATGTTCAATGTTAATAAAACAAATTGCATGAATAATTACATAGGGATTAGATCTCTGCAGAGACTCTTCAAAGGAGGCAATGTATAAAGTACTGAGTATTGTAGGAGATGCAGTAATCTTGCATTGGATTTGACTTGAGGAAGTAAAACCTCTTGGGGTCTATGATATTTAAACTACCTGATCCTTATCAGGGACTTATCTACAGGTGTACCTTTATCAAATGTCCTTGGGGCATTTATCTAAGCAATTAAACTTTAAAAGGCTTATAGTTTGTGTATTTCATTAACAATTAATGAGTTTTAGTTTTCAGTATTTACCTGTTTTGTATCTAGTACAAGCTACTGCTTGAGTAGGGTGGGATTTTAGAACTGTAGGAATTCTTTTTCTATTGCAGCTTTGCTTCTAGCTGCCTTGCCAACAGATATATGCAACTGTGCAAGTATATCTTATTTGAGGGTGACAAGTGGCATGACACTACATCTGTCGAGACTGTTAATACTTTTCACATTATTCCATTGACTAATAGTCTACTAGTACCATTTTAGTGAAGCAGACTTAAAGACTTACTATGTTTTCCTTCTCTAAGCAAGCTTTTACTTGCCATTTTATAGCCACTTTTTGTATTCTAAAATAAGTGTTTTTCTATAGTTCTGTAAAGACCTAATTATAAGTTGTTTCTCCATATTGTTTCATGATAAATGAGATTTGCTTTTCTTACTTTGCAAATTGGAAAGAATTTGGGGATAAAATGTTTGGTTTAGCCTTTTAGCAGCTGTGTAGGTTTTTCTGCAGCCTTGACATAATTTATAATCTGAATTTTTATTTGGACTGTGTAAATCTAAAACCTAGTATGTCTGTTTCTTACATGCAGCTAGTTGAAAACATGAGTGTTTTTTCAAAGTCACTGAAATTACTCATTTTCTGACTTCCCAGTTCAATTTTTCTTCTTGGTCTTTAAAAGCGTCTCATAATTTTTTGACACAATTGTAGATTGCAGTTAAAAATTATTTTCATTTTTTAAATGAAATGGATTGGTTTATTGCATTTTGCAGTAGAAGCTTCATTATGCATTTTTGGCAAGGTTTTCCTTTTCCTTTTATCTTCTCTGTGGTGTTTCTCTTATTTATACAGACTTCAATACAGATCTAGTTTTGCATGACAGAGAATAATAGATTTTGCTTTTGTCAGGACATAAGATTTTGTTTAGAATTAGTAACTTTTCATTTGAAACGATGTTGAACTTGTTTATTCCATTTTGTTTATAGGAGACATTCAAGTTCTATGTGGAAAAAGGGAGAAAAGCAAGATTGGAAGCAGCATGAACAGATAGTCTTTTATGCTTTAGTTGTTTATGAAATTGTTTAAATACTACATTCAATAAAAGTTTAAAAAAGCATGTTGTTCTGTGCAATTTTTAATATAAATACTGTGTTTAAACAACACTTTCCATAGCTGTAATTGATAGAAACATTCAGTAATAGAAATGCTGTTAAAATTGCTAATGCAGTATCAAGATGCAGCTTTCTAGGCTATTTCCATTTTGATGTATAAACTGCTATGACCTGAACTGTATTTTGACTCCTGTTGATTCCCCAAATATATGTATATCAAGTTGCTAGAGGGGTATGTAACTATAACTTAAGCCAACTGTCTTATCCATTGTTGTTATTGTTGCTTGCCTGGTCAGTGTACTTTGGGGTGAAAGTGGAAGAGTAAAGGACATCATCTTCAGGATTCATATGTATCTACACAGAAAATAAATACATCTTTTTAGATTTCTCCTAAATGTACTTCTTTTGTGTTAAGTATCTCATTAGGGCATTTCGTATTATAGGTAAAGGCAAAATATTTCTACCTTTTACACTAGCTTGTGTGTTGTAGTATTATAGCATCTTTAATTGATTCTTGTAACTGTTAGTCCAGGTAATTTTGTGGGTACAAGAACTACATAGCCATGAAAACATGCCTTTTAAACAAAGAAGTGCCCATTATTTGCAGAGGTAGCTGTTGTTTACTTGCTGAGAGACTGGTGGGCATGCTTTATTTGTATAATGTGGGAGTATAATGTAAAGTTTTACAGTCCAGAGTTTTGGGGTCATGAAAATAAGACACTTATAAGTTACAAATTTGAAATGATACATAGAAAATACATCCATTATCTCTGTGAATAATGATGGAAACAGATGTGCACACCTTGGTATAACAAATGGAATGTGGTGCCTATGCAGTACTTAAAACAGGTTTTAATGAAATGGAATCTTTTTTCTGTATGTTTAATAACTTTGTTGCTTGATCTTCACATTTTCCATTCGTTAACCTTGTATTCCTAAGGTTTTCCCACATAGGCAGCACTGTGGTATTCATGTGTGCACAGCAGGTTTTGGTGAAACTTTGAAGGATTTGTACGGTAATCTGAATGTGTGAAAGTTAGGAAGAAATTGGAGCCTAATTTTTTTAAAGTAAAATTTCCAATTCATTAACTACCTAGTATATTTAAAAATTACACTTGCTGTACTCAAAAAATGAGGCATAACTAATTAGGGGCTGAGGAGAGTGGTAAATTCTAGAACCTGATCTGGGTTCTAGAGCAGGTTCTAAGTAGCTTTGGTTCTAGATCAGGTTCTAGGTCACCCTGGTTCTAGAGCAGGGCAAGGTATGAGTCCTAGCTGTGTCTGCTGAATTGATGGTGTGGTTTTATGATGACCTTCATTACTTCACAGATGTAGACTCGACATCATGCTGCGGCCTGCACGGCTCTGTCTGGCACCCTTTGTTCCTGGGTTGTCACGATAAGGCATTAATATTTGAAATTTCATTCATCGCCGAGTGGTTGTGTGTCCTGTCTCAAAGCAAGCCTAGGCAGTACTCAGTTTATTTCATTTCACAAATGGAGGTGTTTCTAAACATGTAGCTAAAGCTACAGCTGCATTACATGTGTTTCAGTATAATAGCAGCATAATTGAAGACACTGTCAACTAGTTGGCAACCCTTGCTTTAGTGCCACAGTTCTTGTTTTTATAGGTCATCTTGTGAATCTCATGGTTTCACAGCGGTAGCTGTGTTCCAGTAAGTGGAGTCATATCTGAGCATAACTGGAAGCGATGGGCCTGAATGCTTTTTGAGCTAAGCTAGCACATAGGATAAGGAAGAGTATTACTTGAAGCAAACAGGGTCGTCACAGAGGAAGTTAACAGCAGATTGGTAGATCTGAGCTACCTTTTTCATAAAGAGGTTGAATCTCATGTGGTCGTTGACCAGATGCAATTGATAGTCAGGTGCTGCACCCATCACCCATATTATGGTGATAACTGGCAAGTTGTGTTTGCTGGCTGCTGCCCTCTGAGGCAGAAAAGCAACACACAAGGCCACAGCCAGGTGCGTGGCCTGTTACTAGTGCCCATGCATGGTGTCTGACCGTGCATTAGTGCTGCTTAGCATCTACACTTTTTTTTTCTAACTTGCTTGACTTAAACTCATAACAGATTAATGCCCTATGATTTTATATTTGCAGTTGTGGAAATGGAAAGTAAATTTGATAGCCTGTAACTGAAGAAAATAAATAGTTTGCAGCCCTGAAATTGCAATTTGAGTGACTTCATGAAAAGCTATGGGCTGAATGAGCCAGCTGCTGAGCCGATTAAATGTCAGTGAGGCACTGCAGGAAGATGAGACCAAAATACCAGGGTTTGGTGGCAGCAGTGACAGGGTAATGGGCAAAGGTGCACGCTGACCACTTGGGATCAAGGTGCAATAGCCCTGGCCCATAGACCCTTGTGGGAAAGCAGACATTGTTCAAAGGATAGGGAAAGGCTGCCATTGTGTGAGAGTATTTCTGATTTTCTGTTCCAGTAAATGTTTTGTGTACAATTAAGGAATGATTGCACAGAGGAGTACAGTCTCTCCTGTCTTTAAAATGTAGGCCAGTGAGGGATTTGTGCCACTCTGGGACACAATCATCTCAGTCTGATACAAGGTTATACTGGGAAGGTTTTGCAGAATCGGCATTTGTGCCAACTCTTCTAGAATATGCTTGAAATTATAATATTTCTTGTATGTTGGTGTGCTGAGACTCGGCCATTTCAAGCATGAAGAAAACTGCAGTTTAGAAGGTTAGAGTTTCTTCAACAAATAAGTAGGCAGTTTCATTTTTTATTTCTCCGTAATCAAAGAAAGAAACGTTTAGGATGACAAAATGCAGAATGGCAATCTTGCGAACTTGTCATGGTGATTTCTTAGTCCGGATACCAAACATACTCTGTCATACTGACTATAACACTTACCCCTTTAAAGCAGAGTATTATTTGCCACCGGCTAGTGGATAACTGGGAGTGTGCAAGATCCAGACCAGGTCAATGTCCGTGAGATAGGAGTGTGCTTTTCCAGAGGCCTCTGTGGGAAGCTGAGAGTGTGCTGACATGAAATGACCTGACATGTTACTGTAAAAAGCAAATTGTGTGAGCGTGTATGTGTTTGCATAATAGCGTGTGATGATTGGGGTTGAGAGGACTGGAAAAAGCTTGCTGCTTGAATCGAGATGATTTAATCTCACTTCTGTACCCTGCAACTACTTGCTTCTTCCCCCACTCCCCTTGAGATAGGGGCAGGATGAAGGTGCTTTTTGGTTTTTGAGCTCAACATGAGAAGTTTCCTTGTTAACTATCGCTATAGTCATTTTGCAGCGTGATAATTACATGCTGTAGTTCTGTCCTTATCTTCTAAAACAGTCGTTCAACTCATTGTCTCCCAAGACCCTTTTCTACAGCAAGAAATGTAGCTTGGTAGGTTAGTAGCTGACTTTCTTACATACCCACTGTTGAAAATGGAGTAGCTGAATGGGTCATGCCTTTGGCAGTAACGACTCAGAAGGTTTTTATAGATTGAACATCTGAGTCAGCAGGATTCCAGGACAAGGGAGGATCACAACAGTGGAGATAGGATCACAAGTGCACATAT